CCTTAAGTCGATGTGTCGGATACAGGTACATGAGTATCAAACCGCAACGGCCCAACAGTCTCCTGTCGTCTCGTGCAAGTTGATTAAACTTGTTGAGGGTTAATGGTCTAAGACGGAGCAGTCGTTCGCTCTACACTTACGACACTGACAAAGCCTTTTTATCCAGTTGGTGCTTGCCATATTACATCTTTGCGCGTGGTGTGTGGCTCGATTGACTTGCAGACTATTTATTACTCACGATGGGATAAGTAATATGTGCGTTTAAGGTTTCTGTGGACGGACTTGGATAATACATCACCGAAAATTAAGCAATTTTCGTCTTGGTAGGAGTAACCACTGCAGGTGCCTTCACGCGAAGCTATAGGCCATATATTTTGTAAGTATATTGTTGTAAGACAATTTGGAAGGACAGTGGAACCTCGGTTTTCAACCCGTTCCGGCACCGGGCTCGTCTTGCGAAACTTAACCAATCAAACTTCATCAGTTCACTGATTGGGGCTGCAGGCCGAGGGCTGAAGACCCACGCCCTGGTGGGAACAAAACTCAACGTGGACATACGCGTACTGACAACTCGCTACCCGAACGGAAGCTCGTCATTCGAAACAATCGTTCCTGTGAGTTGCCCGCTCGTAGATGGGGTTACTCGTTACCCGAGACTCCACTGAGAGTTTAAGGCATATTTCCCGTTTAAATCTAATAGGGGGCGGTTATAAGCGTTTTGGATGGGGGAAGGAGCCTCAAGTTTTATCAGATTTCAACTATTCGCGGGTAGCTGTGGTCTCTGACCATCGCTCACACCGGGGGTCGACTGTAGTGTATTTAAATATTTTTTTAGCTACTAACAGCAGACAGCGTGTAAACTAGTTACATCGACAGCTTAGGGCACGTCGCTAAGCGTTTGCTTGCCCTGTGATTGTGTTTATCTCTCCCTTCTAAGCTGGTAATGGTGACCTTTCGTCAGCAACAGGAACAGCCCTGTTGCTTATTTCCCCTCCTCCTGTTGCTGCTGAATTTTGGGCTACTTCTTAGTCTGCCGCAGGAGTTTGTTTGAACACGCCTAGTTGGTT